ACAATCTTTATGGGGGAAGGGTGGGCATGGATTTTTTTTGGAAATTTAGGGACCAAAATGTGTTTTTAACTAAATTATATGACAATTTTATTAATTATTTAATGAGGGCTAGGTAGCACATGTTGATTGGTTCTTACACCTATCCATTTTCTATTGATCTTGAATATATATATATATATATATATATATATATATATATATAGATATAGAGAGAGAGAGAGAGAGAATGTATAAACCTAAAAGAAACCTCAAAAATACATAAAAAAAAGAAAGTAATTTGAGATATATATTTTCTTTTACTTTACAAAATTAAATATCTCTACTTTTTATTAAAAAAACGTTGATTAGATATTTTAAAGTATTTTTTCTATGTATTTTTATTAATTTTCCAGGTTTTTGGGTTTCCAAACCTCTATGCATTTTCTATATATATATATATATATATATATATATATATATATATATATATATATATATATATATATATATATATATATATATATATATTACATAAACCTACTCAACTCTCACCACAAATGCCATTTTTAAAGTTGTTATTTTAATCTCACCCCATCCCTAATGCAATTTCCTTCATCACCCACATTCAAGAAAACCTTGTTGGCCGACACCGATAAAAATTTGGATGATATCGAAGAGATCTCCCAACCATGACGACCAGTAAGACGCGACAAAGTGAAACACGCTCAAAAACATGGGGATGAAGTTGAAAAAAAGGCTTAAGAATTGGCGAACTTCAGGAGAAGTTTGACACACACAACTTAATAACAAAAGAAAGAGTTAAAGTACAATGTGAGCACTTGAAATTCCTTCGTAGGCAAGCTTGAGAGGAGAAGGGGCAACCTAAGCAAGCACAAATGACGAACCAATTGGCAATTCTTCAATCTAGCGAGAAAGATTTATCGCCCCGAGATTTGTATGTGTTCCGAGCGATGAAGGATAAGATTTGTAACACTTATTTACGCAATTAGGACTCTTGTTCATGTTTTTATTAAATTAAGACTATTGTTTATGTTTTTATTAAGTTAAGACTATCATATTTTTTTCTTGTTATGTTGTTTTTGTAAATCTTATGTATAATTTGAGATTTATTTAACTAGCATGATTTAATAATTTATATTTTATTTTTATAATTATTAAAAAAACATATCTTAAATAAATAATGACATGAAAGTTAGTGGGTGTTGCAACATTTTATAACATGATATCCGTTTTCTGAATTTGTATTATAATATCTGGATAATATGACCTGTGAGATGATATATTTTAGTGTTATAATACGTTATAACATGTTGTCCAGACATTATAGTAAAACTTCTAAAAAAACTTATATTTTTTTTGAATGGAGTTTTTCCATAAAAACTTGTTAACATGCTTTTAAAAACAATTTTTTTTGGATAAGTGTTTTTGTTTTTATTTATCTTGGAGATGTGAACGACAATATAATATATATATATATATATATATATATATATATATATATATATATATATATATATATATATATATATATATATATATAGGGTAAAGTGAATATACCTAACAACCTTATATAAGCTTAGGTACCTAACCACATTATACTATTTAATTTTGTATCATATTTGCATTGTAATCACCCAAAGTTCTTAAAATTCAAACTCATAACTTGATTGTTTCCAAAATCTTTGGACTTTCACCATTATCTTCCTTCAAATGACGTCTTTCTATCGGAGACCCCCTGGAGGGCTTCATATATTACCGTTACAAATCAAATGGTGTAGGAGGAATATAATGGTGAATGTTTGAAAATCTTGGAAGTTAATCAAGCTAAGGGTTGAAGTTTAAGAACCTTAGACGATTGCAATGGAAATATAATGCAAAACAATGTAGTATAATGTGGTTAGGTACCTAAGCTTATATAAGGTTGTTAGGTATATTCACTTTACCCATATATATATATATATATATATATATATATATATATATATATATATATATATATATATATATATATATATATATATATTACCAAAATCCGAAATTCCATTAATTTCTTGTCAGTTTTCAAAAAAGAAAATTGCATATTCATTTCATTCATATATATGGTTGTAAACAAATTTAAAAATCCATTTTTACATGTCTATAAATAATTAATCCTTTTCCTACTATAAGTTATATTTGCCCTGTTATATACACATAATTTTCACAAACAGGGGATGATACCCCTAGTTTTTCAATAATTTGGACAATCGCTTGTATAATCTTTAGAATAAATTACAAAAATGGTCTTTTCAGTTATGTGGTTTTTTTAATCTAGTCCATTTTTCAATTGTAGTGCTAATTGTCCTCAGTGTTCTATTGTAATGCTAATTGTCCTCGATGTTAGGGCGTGTTTGGCACAGAGCTTTTGGAAGCGTTTAGGAGCTTCTAGCTTTTAGCTTTTGACAAAACGCTCTAGTTTAAATAAAAAGCTTCGTTTGGCAGTACGAGCGTTTAGCTTTTAGTTTTATCAAAACGTTCCGATTCTAAAAGCTACTTCATGTAGCTTTTAACAAAACGCTCCGGAGCTTTTGAAATCAATTTCCATAATTACCCTTAATAATATATTTATATACTTTTTTATTTTTAATCAATTGTCCTTTTACGTAATTTTATATATTTCAAAAGCTTCCAGCTCCTTTTGCCAAACATTCATATAACAAATAAAAGCTACAGCTTCCCGCTACCAGCTACCAGCTACCCGCAATCAGCTACCCGCTTCCAGCTAACAGCTACTTTTGCCAAACACGCCCTTAATCTCTTATAATCTTTAGCGGCAGATCAAACGTCCCAGGTATGTGATTTATGTATACTGATTTTAGAACGATATCTATACGACTTGTTCAAAAATGTTGTGATATCTCGTTCTTATTCGAGATACCTTTTATACAAGCTTGTCTTAAAATTATGATAGTTTCGTTTCATTCTTATTTTTATATATGTGGATTTGAATTAAACTACGTGAAGCGCAAAATAGTTAAAAATTAGTTTAACATAAAGACATACTTTTTGGGTTTATTCAATATCATATGATGATGGTATATACAAGTGGTGGACATTCTTTTTTTGGAGCCCATGACAATATCTTTTGAGGATCTCTATGTGGATCTTGACTTTTTGTTGCTTATATATGTTTCATTTTAAGTTATGAGAATAAACTATGAAGAGTGAATTACACTTTTTGTCTATGTGGTTGGTATGGTACTGTGGTTTAGTTTTGTTTTCGAATTTTGACATCTAGTAATTTTATAGCTGCAAATTCATTAATAATAGTAATTTTCACACACATCCATTTATTAATGATATTTATATCCGTATTAAATGTAAGACCTATGTATTATGTAAGTTCATTTAAAAGAAAAAATTAACTATGAAAGTCTTAACATTTTGAGAAATTTGAATTTATAAGAAAAATTAGAAAAATAATAAATTATTAAAATTAAAGTGTTTTTCTCTTTTTTAAATTTAAACTAATAATTTAGATAAATAAACATAAAAAACTAATAAGACTTTAGTTTAAATTTTTTGAAATTAGAAGAAATATCAATTAATGGTATTGATATAATTTATTACAATCATGACATTTAAATAGTATGTGAAATTTAATAAAATAGAAAAATCACAAAATATCATGTGGAAAAAAAATTAATTGAAAAAAATCTCAAAATAACATGTGGCCAAATCAATAAGAATGTGATATGTAGCAAAAAAAAATAATTTATTAGAATATATTTTTTATTTTATTGGACTATTTCTCTTGAAAAAGAAAAATTAAACAACCCTAAAAATATAATTATGTATGCTCTAAAGAAACTCTTTGCATCCTACCATCCTCAATGTCACCGGCAATGTTGACAGAATGAGAGCATCTTCACATCTCTCTCTCTTAATGTTTTTTTTGTTAGTATTTATACCACCACCACCCCACTTATCCCATTTTACCATACAAACATCTTAATTAAAATTTCAAATATTTTTATTGGGTGAAATTGTATTGTTTTCTGAAAAAACTGATTTTATATAATTAATTATAGATTGGTTTTTTATAAAGGTATCGATAGGACGTATCATGGGTGTCTTATTAGACCACTTATTTCACCATGGATTCATCAATTCCATTGAGTTTATTAGTTGGAATCGATGATTATAATCCTAATCCAACTTGAATTCATTTTCTTCCAAATTTATTTTCAATATAATCAATCGTCTATAAAACCAACATCCACATTATATAATGCTTCAATCCATGTTAGTTTTCATTACTTAGTAAATTAACATTTAAGTTACATTCAAACCTCATGATTAACTCAAATTTCATTTTCCTCCAAATTTATTTTCAGTATAATCAATCGTCTATAAAACCAACGTCCACATGATATAATGCTTCAATCCATGTTAGTTTTCATTACTTAGTAAATTAACATTTAAGTTACATTCAAATCTCATGATTAACTCAAATTTTATTTTCTTCCACATTTATTTTTAATATAATCAATCGACTATAAAAGCAACGTCCACATGATATAATGCTTCAATCCATGTTAGTTTTTATTACTTAGTAAATTAACATTTAAATTACTTAAATTCAAATCTCATGATTTTCTTTATAAAAAAATATCCTTAGAAATGGTCCACCTCTCATTCTAGTGACCATCCATTATAATTATTGGTTTATTGTACTGTGACACTCATTTAAATGATGGAAATATGAACTTAGAACTTCATCACATGTTTGTAAATGAAAACCCTGAGAGCAACGGCCAATGTGAAAAATACAAAACCTTCAATTTATAATTACTGAAATGCCCTTTAAAACTTCTTCTCCACAACAAGCCCAACCTCTCATTCTCTCTCACACACAAAGCACATACTATCTTCTATTCTGCCATTTTTGAAGTTCAATTTGCCAAAAAGCTTCAATTGATCCAAATGTTATTTAACTAAAACATGCTTTCACTTCAAACATGGCTTCTTCTTCGCACAACCAACCACGATTTTCTTACAAAATCACCATTTTTCTTATCGTGTTCACATCATTACAGTTATCGAGCTCAACCCCATCAAAATCCTGCTTAACCCCTAGCTCTTCCAAAGTTATAATCGCCGGAAACTCCACTATTCTTAGCGAGAACAGAACTTTTGTACTCGGATTCTTCAACACGAGCGAAGAATCGAAATGGTATTTGGGGATTTGGTACGCTTCAATCCCTACTCCCACCTATGTTTGGGTGGCGAACCGTGAAACGCCGTTGAGTAGCCGGGATGCGTCGTCTCTTGAGATCGACGGTGGGAAGTTGACGGTGAAGGATAATCGAGATTCACGATGCGACGTCGTTTGGGAAAGTGCAGATGGAGATTTCGAAGGTGAAGGAGATGTGAAGCTTCAAGAAGATGGGGATTTGGTTCTTATGGATGCTCGTGGGGTGGTTAGATGGCGGAGCTTTGATTTTCCGGCGGACACGTTTTTGCCGGGGATGAATTTGACGGTCGGTCAAACGTTGACTTGTTGGAAAAGCTCAAACGATCCGGCACCGGGGAAGTATTCGTTGCGGTTGAGACCGCCGGATTACGGCGAGGTTGAGCTTTTGGCCGATAACAATCGAATGTATTGGAGTAGCGGCAACTGGACGGGGAATATTTTCTCCGGTGTACCGGAGATGACTCTTCCGTACATATATAAATTCTATTTCACAAATCCTTTCACCGAAACGGCGACATTTGGGTACACAGAAACAATGACCCAACAAAAACCGCTCACACGATTCAACATCGATTCCTCCGGCAAAATCAAACAATACACATGGTCGCCACAGACAGAATTTTGGAACATGTTTTGGTCGGAACCAGATAACCCGTGTAGGGTTTATGGGTTATGTGGGGATTTAGGGTTTTGTAACGCTAAATCAATGGTGAATCCGTGTAAATGCTTTGACGGGTTTCAACCATTGGATGGTGTTGGGTGGGGCGCCGGAGATTTTTCCGCTGGTTGTCGAAGGGTCGGCGATGATGCTTGTAGCAACGACGATAAGTTTGAAGAAATTGGCGACATCACATTTGATCCAGAAAAAATCGAAGCACTTTCAGGTAGCAGAAGCGATTGTGAACGAAAGTGTTTGAGTAATTGTTCATGTATCGCTTTGTCACACAATCCGAAAACTAATTCCTGCAAGAATTATTTTGGGAAACTTCTGAATCTCGGAAATTCGAGTTCTGATTTGGGTATAATCCAAGATTCATTGAATATTCGAGTTCATAAAGGCGTCATCAGAAAGAAGATCGGCGTGAAAGCGGTTATTCTAGTAACCACAATCACCTCTTTCCTGGCAATTGCATCAATCGCAATCATCATTTTGATAATTCTACGGAAGAAGATGATTAAAAGAAAAAAACTAGAAGAAGAATCCGTCTTTCCCGTAACGAACTTGAAGGTGTTCACATATAAAGAGCTCCACGCCGCCACCAATGGCTTCTCAGAGCAGCTTGGTCACGGCGGATTTGGGGCAGTATTTAGCGGGAAAGTAGACTCCACCCTGGTGGCGGTGAAGCGACTGGAACGACCAGGTGGCGGTGAAAAAGAGTTCCGTGCAGAGGTGTGTACAATCGGTAACATCCAACATGTTAATCTCGTTAGATTGATAGGCTTCTGCTCTGAAGAATCACATAGGCTTCTTGTATACGATTACATGCCAAATGGTCCGTTGAGTTCTTATCTGAAAAACAATGGCCGGACTCTTGACTGGGAAGCTAGATTCAGAATTGCAATCGGAACTGCAAGAGGGATTGCTTATCTACATGAAGAATGTAGAAATTGTATCATACATTGTGATATTAAACCGGAAAATATTTTGCTCGATAAAGATTTTTCTGCCAAAGTGTCAGATTTTGGTTTAGCAAAATTAATTGGTCGAGATTTCAGTCGCGTTTTGGCGACCATGAGAGGCACATGGGGATATGTCGCGCCGGAGTGGATCTCCGGTGTGGCTATAACCACCAAAGCTGACGTGTATAGTTACGGGATGACTTTATTGGAGATATTAGGTGGTCGCCGGAATGTTGAGGGGCCACCACCGGAAGGTGGTGGTGGTGGTGAAAGTGGGAGTAATGAGAAGTGGTTTTTTCCGCCATGGGCGGCAAGGAGGATAACGGAGGGGGATGTGGCGGCGGTTGTGGATGAGCGACTCGCCGGAGAGTATGACGTGGAGGAGGTAGAGCGAGTGGGGTTGGTGGCGGTTTGGTGTATACAAGATGAAGAGGCGACAAGACCGACGATGGGAATGGTGGTGAAGATGTTGGAAGGGGTGGTGGAGGTGGCGGTCCCACCGCCTCCGAAGCTTCTTCAGGCGTTGGTTTCCGGCGAGTCGTTCCGGGGAGTTGGCGGCAATAGTCAAAACGATACGATTTCTCGCGCCTCCGATGACGAGTCACTTTCCGGTATGAGGTAATTGCTACGTGTTGCCTTTATGGGCTTGTACCTCGTGCAATGGAAGTTGTACCTTTTTCTGGGTTGTACATCATGTCTTCGTCTTTAAAGTTGTATCCTATTAATATAATAATGGCATAGGTTCGGTTCATAAATTGGGATACTATATTGGTTATTTAAAGATACAAATATGATGTACGTTGCTAGATTAAGAGTTGGTGAACTATCAAAAAAAGGAGAGACAACTTTGCAATTGGTCTCATGTATACCAAATTTGACTAAATGACGTTGAAAAAAAGATGAAATGATCATAATTGCCATTCAATTCCGATTTCTCTACAAAAATCTTAAAAGGGAAATAATCTATTGTTTATAGGTGTAGTTCTTGTATTTTCTTTTTTCTTCTAGTTCCGTACTTTAGTAGCTAAGACCATACAGCATGCAACCAAGGAACCTGTCTGGATGAGGTGGCAACGGACCACGGCCGTGCACACTACCACGACCGGTCATGGTTTGTCCGTTTCGTGGTGGTCATCATGATTGTAAACGCGTAATGAAAGTGGATTGTGAGTAAGAGTAGCTCATGTAACTTTCATATATATATTTTTAATTTTTAACTTTCAAACATCATTAAACATCTTCTATAAATACTATAATTTTTCTTTCATTTTACTCATACAATTCACCTTTCATTTTTTATAATTCAAAATCAATGGCTCCTAAAAGGAAGAATCTGTGAGAAAATGAAGCAGAGAACTTAACACTAGCATGTGTGGCGGTTTCAGAAGACCCAAATGCTATAATGCCTCCTAATATTTGGGTAAAAGTTGAAAGCGCTTCCATGATTTAACGGGTTGTCGAAATCATAGTTTTGATGAAATATGTTCGAAATTTCGCAATATGAGGGTTAAATGTCTTGAGTTCAATGAAATTTATAAGTTTGTTATAAATAACGTACACGAAAGCAAATCATTTATTGTGGTCATGCACCAATACGAAGACACGAAACACATGTTTAAACATGTCAAAGCTTGGCTAAAATTGAGGGAGTGTCAAAAATTCAGTCATTAAAAATAATAAAGTTTAAAAACTAGTTTAAGTTGTTTGTGGTTGTATTTTTATGTTTTTTTTTATGTTGTGTGTTAATGTAATGTTTGTTTAAAAAATATATGTTTTATTGTGTTCTTTTTAATGTAATGTGGTATTTTAATTTTATGAAAAACTAGTATTAAGAAAATATGATTTTAATGTATTTTTTAATTAAATTTAATTAAAAAAATAAGATGAAGTGATCTGTTTAGTAGTAGGTATCACATGGTTAATAATAGGAAGTGTGGTGATGATGTAACATCTACCACTATAGTGGTTAGGCCATACAGTATACAATACACGAGAAGGCTCGTGGTATACGTGGACTACGACGACGATCGTACACACCATCCCAGCCAGTCATGGTCGATCGTTGTCGTGATGGTTCGTTGTGTGTTACACGAAATCAAACGGAAATAACTTTTGGTTGATGCTTTGCAACGGCTAATTTCTTTGTAACATATAATTTATTATTATTATTATTATTATTATTATTATTATTATTATTATTATTATTACCTTTCAAACAGGTTAAACCTCTTCTATAAATATCAAACTTTCTATTAAACATACTAACACAATTTCTTCGTTCTTTTCTCACACAATCTCACACTTATTTTCCATTCATTCAAAATCAATGGCTCCTAAAAGGATAAATTTGTCAGAAAATGAAGAAGAGAACTTAACAAGAGTATGGGTAGCGGCTTCAGAAGACCCAAATTGTATAATGTCAGACCCTTTTTGGATAAAAGTTGTAAACGTTTTCCATGATTTAATGGGTTGCCGAACTCGTAGTCTTGATTAAATATGTTCGAAAGTTCGTGATATGAGGATTAAATGTTTTGAATTCGATGAGATTTATAAGTTATAACATTGTTATAAACAACGTAGATGAATATGACATGTTTGTTGTGGCTATGCACCAATATGAAGACATGAAACACACATCGTTTAAACACGTCAAAGCTTGTCGAAAATTGAGAGTCTCCAAAATTTGGTCATTAAAAATGAGGCTTAAAAACTAGTTTAAGTTGTTTGTGATTGCATTTTTATGTTTTTTATTTTATTTTATTTTATGTTGTGTGTTTTAAATTAATGTAATATTTGTTTCATTGAATAAAAAACTAATTTAAAAAGATATGTTTTTGGGTATGTTTTATTGTGTTTTTAAATTAAATTTAATTAAAAAATATATTTTATTGTATTTTTATTTGAATTTAAATAGAGAAATGATGTGGAGTGAAGTGATTGGTGATGAATATCTCATAGATTTGGTGGTAGTTATTGGTGTTGATGTGGCACCCACCATATATGTGGTATGTATTGGGTATAACGGATGATCTTAGTGGTGAATATAAGGGATAATCTAAGTGTAGAGATGAATATTAGTGATTTTATATTGGTCTAAAAAATGTCTAGTTTTTTAGACTGATCTCGTAGCGGTCTTTTTTTTTTTTTTTTTTTTTTTTTTTTTCAAATCTATGTTGGAACTGACTTTTTCTAGTTTAATCTTTTTTTATCCAGATCTTAACACGGTCTGGTTTTTTTTGGTATTAATATTAGTCTTTTTCGGTCTAGTGGTTGTGCATCTTTTTCTGTTCAAATCTGATTTTTCTGGTTTTTTGGTTTTGATTTCTAATTTTTCTATTAATAAATATGTGATAACACAAAAAAGATATATTAAGATGTACAGAAAGTGTATTAAAATTTAATAAAATAAAGAAAGTATGAAGTTAGGTAACTTGTGATAAACACAAAATAATATGTATATAAACTTTTGCTTGTGATCTTTTTTGGAGATCGATCTTCGACATATCTTGGGTCGGTCTCAGATCGCTCTTGGAAGGGTCATATCCATTTTTAGAATGGTTTCAGAATGGTCCCCCTTTTTTCAAATCGGCCTCGAGAGTTTTTTGTTTTTTTTTTGTTGTCTGATCTCATTTTAGATTGGTTCAATCTAAACTTTCTTTGAGACAAGTTTTGGACCGATATTTTTGTTCATGGCTTAAATACCATTTACAAAACTCTTACCAACCTTTAAGAAGTTTATTTCTCTCTCTCTCTCTTTTTTTTTTTACATAGTGATTTATCTTCGATTGCATGAAAAGATTATTTTTTAAAGGGAGAATTCATAGATTCCTCTCTTAAACCTCAAAATATCATATTTGTCCAACTTAATTTCTGAATATCATATTTATCCTTCATAAATCTTCAATATATCATATTTGCCCAAATTTTTTTTATAACGTTTTTAATATTTTATAATCATTTTTTATACCTTAGAATTATTATAATAATTAAAAATTTAACCATATTATCTTTACGTCTATTATAATGGAATGCGAACTTCTAAATTGTTGGAATGTCGTCATCTTGACAAACAAAAAAATTCATTTTCAACCCTCCATATGGAATATATATTTTGATTGTTTAGTTTTTGTTGTTGTAGATTGATGATATTTTAGATATTACCATTGACATTTTGAATGTTTAACAAGGGTATATACGATATTTTGATATTTAAGGACATATATGATATTTTGAAATTTTATGAATGGTAAATATGAAATTTAAAATTTTTATGAAGGATAAATATCATATTTAGAAATTAAGTTGGGTAAATATGATATTTTGATGTTTAAGGACATATATGAAATTATACATTTTTTTAAAACTTCTTTATATTTTGGAATGTGAATTTGGCATGAACATGAAAATTGTCTGAAAGTTTGTCTCATTTTCAGAACATTTTAAATCTCCTTAATCGGAGTTACGATTCATTAGATATGGGCAAAATACTTAAGAGAGGTCAATCTGTCCATCAGCATCCTTTTTGCGTCTTTTTCTGCTCCGTTTGCATCCTAACTCCTACTTTAACTGTAATTGAACATTTCAAAGCATATTAAGTATCATATATCTTAAAATATAACATTTTTACTCAAATATATTAGGATAATGACCTAAAATACATAGTTAAATAAGGTTATATGAGTTACATAACTAAATATATATCATCACATTCTGAGCTATATAATCCTAATGTGTTTTCCAAACATTCATTACACAAGTACGATATTATTGACATCAACTATGTCGTCTATTATTCATAATAGACTTGCAGTCGAGCAAGTTACTATCAATTCCAATTAATCTCTCTTCAGTTGTAATCAATACTACATATACTCTAAACAAATCCAACGAACATTTTTCTTACTAACATTACACCCATTCACTACAAAATATTGTTTGGTATATTATTTTCGGCCACCAATGCTATTATTAACTTACAATTCTACAATGATAATTTTATAGTCACCAAGGCTATTATCATGATATAATGTTAACATACAAGCATTTATACATCCCCATAACCGTATGGTGTTACACTTACCACGACCACCACTAACAATTAATCTCAATATGTTGGTGTTATAGTCACCAAGACCACCACTAACAACTAATCTCAATACATTGGTTGTACAGTCACCAAAACCAACACTAAATTAGTCCATGATATTATAGTTACCAAGACTATCATGACTACCAATATTCATGTATAGTGGTACTTCCATCCAAGCATACAACTACAATCAACACTTACACCAAAGATTATATAATGGTAATTACAACAATAAGCATACCACTACCAACTAATTCCCACACAATGGTAATCACAACACCAAGCATACCACTAATTCTCTATAAACAAACTACAAGTATAACGTTACAAACACTAAGTATACCATTGACGTTCATTCCTTAAATCATGGTATTACAATCACCCAAACTACCATATCTTACTAATCATATACAAGTATAGCGTTACATACACCAAATATGTCGTTGACTTGCATTCCTCAATTGATGGAATTACAATCACCCAACCTACCACCACTTTCTAGTAACTATCAACAAGTATAACATTACAAACAC